TCTCGGTCTCCTCGGGCGACGAGACAAAGATCGCCGGGGGAGGAGACGGTGGCGCGGACACGTTCCTCCTCGGAATCCTCGGACTCGAGAACTCGCTCTCATCTCATCGGCCTCGTCTCGTCCATGCTCATGTCGTCCTCGTCCACGGACTCACCACTGATGTAGGTCGGCGCCTGAGGAAGGTCAATCTGTTTAAAAGAATACCAGGAAAAAATATCAAGATTTAGAGACGGGCATTGACGGTTAATATCACGTTATTTTTTTATTCTTATTATCTATTCTTATTATTATTGTTGTTATCATCATTACCATTACTATTATGATTATTCTTATGGTCATTATCAATATCATGATAATTATCATTAGTATTACAATTATTATTATTATGATCATTATTATTACCATGATGTCATTATGGACAATTAGAGTATGGTAACTGTATTCAGTAATGACAATGTAATATGATAAAATGAAGATAATAATAATAACAATAATGATAATTTTAATGATAATGATAGCAATAATGATGATAATGATAATGTTAATGATAATATTAGTGATAATAATGATAAGAGCAATAATAATAATGATAGATAATGATAAAATAATGATAATGTTGATAATAATAATGATAATATTGATAATAATAATGATAATGATTAATATTGATAATGACAATGGTGATAATAGTAATGGTAATAATAATGATAACACTGTACAGTAATAGTAAAACAAATATGAATAATGATAATGATAATACTAATAATAACAATTATAACAAATTTTGAAAATAATAGTGATAATACTGGTAATAAAAAAATGATAATAGTATTAATAATAACAATATATAATATTAATAACACAATAATGATAACAATAACAGCAATAATAATCATGGTTATATAATAAAAGAGAATCAAATGATAAAACATGATAATAATGGTAATGATAATGATAACTATAATAATAATAACAATAGTAATGATAACAGTGATGATAATTGCAATAAGGATAATCATGATAATGATATTTTAATGATAATAATAATAACTTAAATATCAATTGACATTATAACGATTATAAATGATGATAACAATAAAAAGATTTGATGATCATAACGAAAGATGGTGATGATATTGATCATAAATAGTAACCACCCCATAAGCAATAAACAATGATAATAAATAATAAGAATCACTATTTTGTTGTTTTTGCTGATTTTCATTATAGTAATGAAAAAATACAAAATAATAATGATAATATCAAGGATAATGATATTACTATCATGATAATGATGTTAATAATAGCGACAACAATAATGATAACTGTAGTAACAACTATAATGATAAAAATTAATAACAACAATGATAATAACGATAATAATAAAAAACAATATTGATAATAGTAATAATAATAATAATAATAACAATAATAATGATAATAACAATAATAATAATAATAACAATAATGATAATGATAATAATGATGATAATAATAATAATAATGATAATGATAATAATAGTAATAGTAGTAATAATAACAAAAATAATAGCAATAATAATGATAATAATACCAATAACAATAATAATGATAATAATAATAATATTAATAACAATAATAATAATAGTAATGGTAATAATAATAATAATAGTAATAATGATGATAATAAAGACAGTAATAATGATGATAATGATAAGTATAATGATGATGATTATTATGTAATGATTATAACAATATAATAATAATGATAATAGCAATGATAAAAAACAACAATAGTAACAATAATGATAATAAGAATAATCTTAGTCATCATCACTATCATTATCTTTGTTCATTACAATTACAATCATCATTATTATCATTATTGTTATAATCTTAGTTATCATCATCATTATCATTATTACTATTATTATAATTTTAATTACTATTATTAGTATAACAACTGTTACTATCATTATTACTATTGTTATTATTATAATCATTATCATTATCATCATTAGTAGTAGTAGTAGTAGTAGTAGTATTTGTACTATCATAACACTAATAATAATGAGAATGATAATAATAACAATAATTATTATAATAGTGATAATAGTAACAACGATGATAACAATCATAATTATAACAACAATAATGATAATAATAATGATAATAATAATAATTAATAACAAATCAATAATGATAACAATAATAATAGCGATAATGATTAAGATGACAACAATAATAATAACAATGATAGTAATATTATTATTAAAACAATAATTTTTTTTGTTATTATTCTTATTGTTATCATAATTACTATTAAAATTATCATTATGATTATTGTCATCACCATTATCATCATTAATATTTTCCTAATTATCACTGTTATCATTATTAAGAATAATAATGTTATTGTAATATATTTCTTACGATGCTATAATTATTATCATATTACCGTTATCATTATCATAATTAAAATTATTAGTAGTAATAGCAGTAGTATTATCTTTTAATGATACTGTTAATGATGACGATGATGATAATGATAATGATGATAACAATAATAATGATAATGACGATATTAATTATAACAATGATAATGATAATGAGGATAATGATAATGACATTAATAATAATAGTAATGATGATGATAATAATAATAATAATAATAATAATAATAATAATAATAATAATAATAATAATAATAATAATAAATAAAAGTCACAACAGTAACAACAATGATAATGAATAATAATTAGAACCATAAAAAATATCATAAGGATAATGAAATTGTTAATAATGATGACGATGATGTGATGATGATAACAATAAAAAAACAATTATTATAATAACAACAGCAGTATTATTTAGTTAATAATACTTATTATAGAGATCAAAACTGTTACTACTACTAATGATGAAGATAATGAGAATGATGATACCGATAAGTGATGATAATAATATTAATAAAAGTTATATAATTACTAAACAAGGAAGGCAAAGTAATGATAATATAATAATGATAATATTGTTATGATTAATAATAATGATTGATTGTGGTAATTGTAATTATGATAAGAAGAAAATAGTAATATTATTAGTGATAATGATGATAATGCAAATGATAATGATGATTACGATAATAATAATGATAATGGTGATAATAATAACAATAATAACAACAACAATAATGATAATGATAATAATACAAATGATGATAAGAATGATAACAGAAATATAAATGATGGTGATGGTGGTGATACTGAAGATGTTAATCATGGCAATAATAATAATGATGATGATGATGATGATGATGATGATGATGATGATGATGATGATGATGATGATGATGATGATGATGATGATGATGATGAATGATAATAATGATAATGATAATGATAATGATGATAATGATAATGATGATGATGATGATGATGATGATGATGATGATGATGATGATGATGATGATGATGATGATGATGATGATGATGATGATAATGATAATGATGATGATGATGATGATGATGATGATGATGATGATGATGATGATGATAATAATAATAATAATAATAATAATAATAATAATAATAATAATAATAATAATGACGATGATAATAACAATTAAGATAATAGCAATAATAAGTAACAACAATAATGATAATAATGATAATAACATTAGTAGTAATAATAAATATTATCATTATCATTATTTATGTTATTAATATTGTTATCATTATAATTATTACTATTATCATTATCATTATTATCACTATTATGATCACAATTATAACAATAATACTAGCAATGATAATGATGATATTGGTAATGAAATTAGTAATGAAAATGATATCAATGATAACAATAACAACCACAACAACAATAATGATAATGATAATACAGACAGATATAATGGAATTAGTAGTATCTGTAATCATCTTTATTATTATGATAATAATGGTAATCATCATCGTCATTAATATTAATATAATTTTGATTATCATCATCTATCATTGTTATTTTCATTATCTATATCATTATTAACATTGTCATTGCTGTTATTGTTTGTTTCTGTTGTTATCATTAGTAGTATTATCATTATTATAATAATGACAATAATAATAATAATAATAACAATAATAATAATTACTATATTTATTATGATTATTATCATTATTATTATTATTATTATTATTGATACTATTATTACTGTTATCATTATTTTCATTATCATTACTACTATCATTATCACTATTGATATCATCATTATTGTTATTATTAGTATTACGATTATTAATACTTCTATTATCACAATTATCAGGATCACTATTATTACTACTGCCATTATCATCATCATCATAAACATCATCATCATCATTATTATTACTATCTTTATTCTTATCATTATCATTACTATCTTTATTATTATTATCATTATAATTCTTACCATTTCCTTATCATTCTACAGTATTTTGATCAACATTGTTACCAT